TAAAATATGAGCAATGCAATATTTATTAAGAGAATGAGCATTACCTCACCATGGAAAACAATTTTTTTTTTTTTAAATTTTAAATGACAGTTCATTTAACAGAATAGGTTTACACTGAGGAAAAAAAAACTATCCAGAACTAAACATTAAATATTACAAGATTTAATGATGACATTTCAGTTCAAAATATAGAAATAAATAATAATAAGCCATATTAATATATAATAATAAGTCGTTGGCACCTAATAATAATACAATTTTATTTTTCCACTCATATTAATATTTTTAATAATTTAACTTTTAATCAAATTCTGAACATTTTCTAAATTTTCATTGCAACAGTTTTTCCTTAACATATATTCCAAGCACAACGTAATTAAGTAAAAAAGGCACATTTCTGAAATCAGAAGACGGAAATTGCTTCATGCAGTCATCCTTTAACAGTAAAAGCTTAATAACTAACCCGCATACTCGGAAATTGCGGAATATTCCGGATAGTAACTGGAAAAAGAGGAGAGGGGACGGCTAAATAAATGATTTTGACATTTCCATGTGTGCATCATATAAAAATAGACCAACGGAACTGAGAAATATTCTGCTTAGAAAAAACAGTAAAACTCTTTTAAGTGTTTATAAACAAATCTCAGACTGAATATCAAAATTAATTATCTCTGCAAAATACCGCAAACGTTATTGCATAATACGCACGGCGTAATTCTTCTATTATGCAATCAGAATCAACAGCTGCCAGTATTCGGAGAAAAAGAACTAAGTAAAGGAAAAGAAAGAGACTTACTAATCTGGTGTGTTTTTTATTCTAATTTTCAACAGACTGCGTTAAATTTCCGGAACAGAATCAATCTTCGCTTGGGTTGGGTAGACCGCAAAACTTTTAGTCCTATTTAATCCAGATTGGGCAGTGACAAAAAAAACGTCTGCTGTTTCAATATTAGAGATTTTGCGGACAAAGGGGAGAATCTCCCAGCCTCCGTATTGCACTATAATGTAATGAGGGAAAAAAAAAAAAATTTTGACTATTCGATTACTTTCCTTTTATTTAAGCCATTCCGAATATTATTCCTTAGAAAGCTAGGTAAAATCCTAGTCTACGGTGCAGCCTTGGCGTGATTTTGAAAATTATCGCCAACACCAAAAATGATCCAAAGAACGTCTATATACTATATACTTTATACTATGTGTGTATATACATAATATATACTATGTATAACTATATATATCTTTTGAATGACCTGTTTACTACTCATCGTATATGTCCCATTTTTACTGCTCATCATAAAGACGCCAAAAGTAGCCAAATCCCATGTGCACCGGATACTAGGATTAAACTGAAAGCTAATCTGTGTAAAAACACACCCATTTTTAGTATTTGGGTGGCAGGAAAAGAATACCGAATGTACCGGAATTTTCTACCGTTTTCACAATTCTTTGACCAATACTACGACGTGCACCTGTCTGTACTCTCGCGTGCACCATAGGTTACGTTAAATGCAGAGAAAGGGGGGAAAGCAATTTCCCGGAGTATGATTCACCATCTGACATTACATATAAGGAAGAAAAGTTGTTTGTTTAGTTTCGGCTTTGGTACGGGGAAAAATGCGCGTTCATTAAAAAAAAGCATAAAAAAAAAGCACTAAAAGCAAAAAATAAGCACTAAAAACAAAAAAATAAGGGCTTTAAAGAAAAAGTAAGCATCTATAAGGGCCATTATATTTTATTTTCAAATATGAGGACTTACTTGTAAGGACCGCTACGAACCCTGTATAAGCTTTATATACATTTAATAGTTTTTATTAAATATTTTTCAGTTATTGATTTCTCTTTATATTACTATATGTGCATGTGACTTTTTTAAAAAAAAATATTTTAAACAGTTCTGACAAATATAAAGCAAAGAGGATGTATTGAAATTCACTAATCAACATTTCAAAAAATCAATTAAATTTCTCACCTGGTATAAAGGGTTAACACACACACACTAGATACAGAACAGAACTAAAATTATAGATCTAAATTTACAGAACAAAAGTTAAAATAAAGTCTGAAACATATGTAACATTAATGTTAGCATACAGCATTAAAAATTTTTTTGAGGAACCTCACAATGATATTCTTCATTTTAACTCGGGCAGATAACTTTTTATTTTAACTCGGGCTTTGCTGTATTCTAAATAATCCAATTCTAGTGTCAAATCCATTTTCACTTAACTGGAGAAAAGATAGAAAAAACAAAACTTAATAATCATATAAAGAAATAAATTAAATTTTCAGACTTATCAGCAAATAATGATATAGTTAACCATAAAGCAGAACATCTCACATTGTGTGCACTTGCATAAAATATTATGCAACTACAAAACACACTTTTTGGATATAAGGTTGCTATCTTAGATAGGTAAGATTGTATGAAAGAATTTAACTCCCACCCAAACAACAAAAGTCAGTTTAATAAGACTCAGTGCATTTTTTAATATTACAATCATAAATAACTGTAAATTGATAGCAGGTTTGATCAACATTAATATCAATCACATGCGGCATAAACGTAATCTAATTTTGTTTATGTGGAATGTTATTATCATAGGTTATTTGTCAATGCAGTTTTTTATGAATATAAGCTTTTATATCTGTGGGTTTTCATTCAATGTTAGAGAATCTTCTTCAAGATGGCAAAAAAGTCAGTTTCACTTGGTCTTTTATCAACACAGGTGCAAATCACCATAGAACAATCACTGTGCTTCGCATCTGTCTCATTGATGAATCACAAATTATATTCCTACCGGCGAATTCCATACTTGAGTTGGTCATCATGAATGGACATTGGTATCACAGTAATAATCCGAAGCTTTAAACAATGCCATTTGCTTCAGCTAGCTTTCTATTGAATCTTGACAAGCCAATCAGCTACATCTGTTGATACGGCTCCTTTTCCTCAGAAATATGCACATGGGAAATGCATAACTGTGACATTCTGCAATGTGCTGCTGCTCTGTCGGGAAAGCATGATATTAGAAACAACTATCTCTGCTTGTGAACATGTTTCAAAATAATGCTTCTCACATTTCGCATGGAATACAACTTCAGATTGCCCTGTAAATATTACCCCTTGTAATCCCTTTTTATTTTATTGAAAAAGTTTAAGAACATCATACATATAGTTTATTATGTAAGGTAAATCTTGAAGCACATTACCTTCACATATACAGCATAAATGTAATCTATATATATTTTAAAAGAAATGAGAATCAATGAAATTTAAACCTTGATAAATATGTTTCTTTTCCTGTAAAGTGTTAAAGAATTTTCTAATACTTTTATTAACATAATAAATGCTGAAGAATATTTTACACTGCAAGCCATTAATTTTACAGCACTGTTGCTGAGAGTGCAGAAAATGAAACTAAAAGCCTTCTTCTGGTAACCCTGCTTTTACAACATAAATAAGTGTAACTTCTGGAATCTTGGTATTTGTTGTTTATATATATATATAAGATGTTTCCAAAGTTCTAGGAATTTAGGAAACTATATATATTTGTGTGTGAGTGATATTTTGACTTGAAGAAAGAAGTTGCAATGGATTGGCATTGAGAGACTTTACTGCATAGTTAGAAAGACGAATGCATAAACCAAAAACTTCCAGACATGACCATTTTGAAATATAATTTTATTCCTTGATAATTCACATTAAATTAGTTTTTTATAGACAAGATAGCTCCAGATCATAATCAGCAACAATAATTTTTATGTACATGGGTTAAAAAGTATGACGTCCTCTTAGACAAGTAAGCATAGCAGCCCAGAGGTTTTCTAGAGCAGGAGAAGTTAAGAAGAAGAATGACATAATTTCTTGCGAAGCAGTATTTAGACTAGGCAGGTGCGTATGTACAGCTAAGCTGCAATTGGTTAATTTTAGTTCTCTTTGCAAGCAGTGTTATGTAATTTGAAAAGAACTTGAACTTGGGAGAAAAGTTTAACTTAGGGAAAGAACATAAAATCTAGTCAATTTTGAGGTTGCCAACCATTTCTTAATGCAGCCATCATATTTTATTGTATCGTGTATATATATACAGTTTTTTTTAATTTTGTCAATTTTCATTATCATTACTAAGCAGTTTTCCAACATAATCCCCATTCAATTAAATACACTCATCCCAATGAAAAATTTTTTTTAAGTCGTGCTCAAAGAATTTTTTTTGGTGTCCCTCTCTCTATGGTAAGGTTAAATTTTCAAATCAAACACTCCATAAAGCTTTCAAATGTAGAAACAGACATTGCACAGATGCTGAACAATTTCTGAATTTTGTGCACCTTCTAGCCTCAAGAAGAAAATGATTGCTCCTCAGCATCATCCATGGTTGCAAACACAATGTCACAAAAATGAGCCTGTATCAGTCAAACAACTGAATCATAGAACTTTGAAAATATCCTAAGTATTTCAAATACTAAAGACATTTTATTTATTCATTTTTAAGAATAAATAAAATTAAATTCTGTAGGAGAGAAGGTGAAAAGTATTTTAATCAACATAAGTCAAAAAAAACTTTTGAAAAATAAGTATATGGTCTTGATGATTTTGATATATACTATCCATGCTTATTTGAATGCTTCTTTCAGACCAATGAGATCAAAATTTTGAAATTTTGATGCACATTCTTTTAAAACATACATGTTTTCAAAAGAGAAGTATTTGGGCAAATTTTACCAAAATTTTTGAAAAAAATTTAGAAATTAATATGTTAATTAGTTTACACATAATTCATAACATAATTAATAATGTTAATTCATTAATGATTTGAAATTAATGATGTTAGTTACATTAAGAAATGTTATTAAATTCATAAAAATATATTGTTACATCATCTAGCAGAATGACAGAGAGGGTGGGATAAGACTTCCCCCCTACAAAGAAAGCATACTGTACAAGTAACAACACAAATTCAATATATAATTATATATATTAATTAACAAGCTTTTGTACTTACTTCAATACAATTACTGCAAAGAATACATTCACAACTAGGATGTAAAGATAAACTGTAATCAGGTAATTCTTCTAGACAAATAGCACATGAATGCCACTGTACAGGCCCTGACACTGGCAAAAATTCACCAGCTAAATTAACTTTAGCAGCATCATATTTGCAAGCAGGATTGTTTTGCATAAGATCAGTTACTAGGCACAAATTGTCTTCTTTCTGCTTGTCTAATAAAGGACTAGAACATTTTAATAGATCACAGTTTTGTAAAAGCTCTACTTCACTTGTTTGTTTTTGTACACCATTTCCAAAGAAACTAGAAGTGTTCGTGAAGTTCTTTTTGTCTTCGGTACAATCTAAAGGGATAGCATTTGAATTTTTAGTATTATCAGAGTTCTGTTCACATATTTTTCCAACTTCAAAAGCATAAACTGATCTAGAAGAATCATTCACACGAGAAATTGATTGATTTTCATCCTGTGAAAGAAGAAAAAGGAATAGGGTGAATATTTTTCCAATATGGTAATGTTTAAAAGTTACTTGCAATACTTAAAAAAAAAAAAAAAAAAAAAAAAAAAAAAAAAAATCTTATAGATATTCATTTGTTGGGAAATTTTTACTAGAACACAATACTTTGTTATAAAGAAAACTTATTTAAATTTTATAATGTTTACTTTAGCTGCATTAGTTATTGTTCAGCAATTCACATCAGTACCAAAAGAATAACCTTTAATCTTTCTGAATTATAACATGTTTCTTCAATTTGCATTAGTAATGAAAGAATAAACTTTCTGACCTATTACATACTTCAATGTTTCACATCAATATTAAAATAATCTTTCAGACATCTACTTCTATGGTTCACTTCAATATTAATAACCTGAATGTCAAGATTTCCTTATCTGGTTATGAGACTGTTTTTGCTATCTGGTATATTTTTCATTATTATTTAAATTTTTTTAATATTCTTTAATCATCTAAATATTATGTTAATGAACAAAAAGTTTACGAAAACAAAGATTAAAATAATTAGTTACACAAATTACCAAACAACTGATGATTAAATACAATTCTTTGTAAGTCAATCCAAAAAGTTGTGCCACTCAGAAAGGAGGTTAAGATTTTTTATGCAAAATTTTATTGCAATGTTTTCCAAGATTCAGCCACAATCACATCATGGCATACAGTACTCAATAAATGATTACAAAAATAAAGCTATCAATACTTGTAATTCTACATCATTTACAAGCTATCACTATATTTTAATTCTACATCACTTACCCCCTCTCCCAAGATTGTGCCTACTATTGAACTTGACAAAGAATTACAGAAGTACAAAGAATTACAGAAATACAAAAAATTTACAAACCAAAATCCTAGAGATATGATTTTCGAAAACTTCGGCTAATATTATCTCCTCGGCAGTGGCATCTAACAGCCTTTGCAAAGCTTCTCTAATTTTATGCACTCGGTCAAATTTATTTACATTCACGAGGTAGCAAACTGGAGGCATCCCATTGTTTTGTATAAAGGTGATCACTGAAAGAAAAAATATAAAATAAAACTTAATGCCAAAATAAATAATTTTTTAAAAAATACCGTAATTTCTGGAAGAATGGCCGCATCAGTGTAAATGCTGCACTCAAGAAAAATGGTGGGAAAAAAAGTAAAATTATGCAGAAACACCGCAATAGATTAAATTGCATGTGACATCGTCGTGGACCGTATACACACAAAATCTTGACCCATGTTCTGATATATGACATACCAGTTAAGAAAAATGCATGACATGAAACTATAACTTAAAAATAAATTAAAGGTAAGAAATGTTGAAAATATATTTACGTTCCCGAATATACTTATATTTACCCACTAGAGAAGTACATATTTGTCATACTCATACTATATTATAAAAATTTTTGCAACAACGAGATTAAATTTGGATGGCAAAAGAAACATTTTAAATTTTATTTACAAAGGAATTACAGCAAACTGTACTTCAAATGAAGCCATTAAAATCTGATTCTTCACTATCTGAATTAAAAAGATTTAGTAAAATCCTGATCTAAGTTTTCCAGATCGTCACATTCATCCTCTTGGTTTACAGTCTCTTTATCTAAGGATATAATTTCAGCTTCTTTGAACACTGCTATTATTGACGATGTTTTCACTGATTTCCACACACTTCTTACCCACTTTGCAACTTCATAATATGCTCTACGCATTTTGCCACTTTTGGTATACTTATGCAATCCTTCACTCATCCAACACTTTGACCGCTTTTGGACTTCAGCTTTGAAGGATTTATTACCTGACAAATCTAATGGTTCTAAGATTTTTGTCAAACCACCAGGAATTATTGCTATGGTTGTAGAGAGTTTTTTCATTCTGGCTGAATGAGAAATACATCAGAATTCGTTATTGCAATGCAGGTGGAAAAAATTGCAGTAGATTTACAATGGAAAAGGGAGGAGTGGGGAGAGGATGGGTCCCACAAGATTCATCAAATGACAGAGATGAGAGACTATTCAAACTGATGAGAATGCTGATTTGAAAGAGGGAAGAATGTTATTGTTCTGAGATCCCATTTAGAGTGAATAAGGCACGTAGGTCTGTTCAAGAGAAAGAATATAAACAAAATAAAGTTTGCAGAAAGCAACTGAGTGGTCTTTTGTGTAGGAAGAGCACCAATCTATGTACAATGGCAAGATCATCCAAACTATGAACAATAACAAGGTCATTTAAACTATGCACAATGACATCATAGGAAATATTTTTTTAGCGCATCTAAGCGCTGCAGGAGTAGAAACAGCACACCTGCTGAAAACTTAAGTTTTTAAACACGTAAACGACGCAGCATTTCTTTCGGAAATTACAGTAAGTTTTCTGAACAACTGAGATGATCTATATAAGGCATATTAAGAGTGTGAATTTCAGCTTATTATACTTGTAGGCAATTTTATTGAAATAGCATTTTAGATGTATTGGTAGTGATATAAATGCTTTGTGCAAAACAATATTTATAGTAAATTGTTTTTCAAAATTCTTTAACAGCCACGAGGGATGATGCATATTTATAATTTGTTAAAAAACATAGTAAAAATTCAGCTTCAAGTATATATACATACAAACCTATCTGCCTTTCTAAAGCATGAGGAAGGAAAACTGGAAGATACATGAATGGCTCATATGTGATAGAAACATGTGAACATTGAGAACATACAACCTGCAAAGCAAAGAGAAAAATACTGTAAATATTAAACGCAGACCATATAGCTGAAAATTTAGTGAAAATATGACATGATAACCCCAATCTCTATTTCACTAAAAATGTTTTAATACAATGCAATAGTACAAAAAATGTAATTTACAAATGTTAATTTGTAAATGTTGTAATGAACAAATGATAATTTACATGATTGTAAGAACAAAATTACATCCTAAATTATAACACTTAATTCTTACATATACGGTACAAAATCCAAAATATGGACTCGTCAGGACTTCGGCGATTCTGGATTTGCGATTTTTCTGGATATTATTAGATCATCAGTTTAAATCTAGTATAATGGGCATGTAAAAATTATAAAATTAAAAACATGAAATCGCGATTTATGAAATAGTGAAGTATTTATGATCTAAAGTGTATCAAAATTTACAACAAAAAAAGAGCTTAATACTTATTTATTTACCTTATTAAACATTTCTTTCAATGAAAGTTGCTTCGTTTTTTTGTGCTAATACTTTCTCTTTAATTCTGTAGACAGAGATAATCTCTTGTTCAGTTACAGTGTTGAAGTCCTGTAACTGCTATTTCGAGAATTCAGACTAACTTGTCAATTGAAATTTTCTTGTTTTCAGTAACTTCTCTTTCACTATCGGTAGGGCTATTTTCTGGATATAGAACCACACTACAAATTTCACCAATTCATTAATTGATTAATGATTGAGAAGCATTGTCATCACAATGAAAAACTTTTTTATATCATCTTCATTTATTACTGCTTTTCCAAAATCCATTTATTTGAAAATTTTACCTTTGTTTTGCGATATCCAATAGCCTTTAAAATTAGCGGCTATCATCACCAAATTTAGCTATCCTTCACGATTTGGCTATGCATCATGAGCTTGGCGACTAACGACAAGTTGTTCCGTTAAATTTTACCTCGCTTCTATTATGCTCTGAGACAATTAAGCCTGAATTGTTTTAGTTTAGTTAGTAGTTATTATACTTATGTCTATTTCTTGCACATGCTGAAGGCTTATCAGAGTTCTGAATAAATAAATTCCAACATATACTTAAGCCTTATTGAGGGCCTGGTGCCTGTCTCTGGGGGTCCTAAATTCTGCGACTCGACGCGGCCATATGAGCCCTGGCGCTGGCTCTGGGTTTATGTGAATAACAAATCAGTATTCTTAATTCAAATAGCCCTAAATGTAATCTTTGGGTTTATGAGTATCATCAACAAAATCTATTTTTAACATATGGAAAAAAAATTCTTGGTAAATTTTTCCACGTCAACACTTTTTAGCACATTCAACTTAAATCTGTAATTATCGCCAAGCATAAAGTCAACATAAAAGGTCACCATACTCCTTTATTACTGAATTACTAATATGAAAAAAAATTTGTTTAGGCATCACTACTTGAGTCATTACTCAAGTTGTTATGTTTTGATAAACATGCGGTGATGAAAGGGAAGTATAATAAATAATGATTTGCCAGGTTGGTGTTTGAGATGTGTGCCAAGCAGATACACAGCAACGGAGCCAAATTACTGATAGTACAAATTTAAGCTAAATTGGTTGTTTCTTCAATAACAAGGTATTTTATTTAGAGGTCCGGGTTTTAGATCATTCCGGATAATGGACATCTGGATTTCGGACTTAGTACTGCATATGTCATATTAATAGTCTTAAAGTGGCTGCCCACAAGCAGCCTAAAGCAATTTTACACAGCCCATAAATATATTTCGCATACTAAATTGATTAGCATTATTACCATGTTTTGGAAATATAATTTTACATTATTTTTCATTATCATTAAAAAACAAATGTGAATATAACCACAGATAATTTACAAATGGAGTTAATTAATTTAGACTGAAATATCTTTTTCAAAGATTTGAAAATACAGATTTGATTAGCTTTTTTCATATTCCTGAAAAGATAAATACTCTCACTTACAAATTATGCAATAAGAATAATCGCTTTGCTAGGGAGTTACATTTATAGTATATGAACCTGTAACTGAAAATTACTATGCTAAATAGAGCCAAACTGACAAATGAGCATGTAATGAAGATAGTTTCTCGTAACTTTTCTTTAACGTTGCGTATTTTATTAAAATGCTAGATAAAGTTTATAATTATTTATACACAAATATATGTATTTTTCCTCTACACATTGAAGAAAAGTTTAGTAAACAAAATAATGAGAACAGGTCATTATTTATTCCCAAGTTTTGTTCCCTTAGAAAGTTTTAGTAGTTTGTTTACTTTAAGTAAATTATTTAGTTGTTAATTCAACATATTAGAATTATCTGAAATAAATATCTGTCGGAAAATTTAATACTTAGCTGTCAATATGTTTGTTTGCCAATGCAATTACCAAGCGTAATCTACAGATAATTTCTCGCAAACATTAAACTTTAGATTTCAAATATAAAATATATATTGATTGGAAGTTTTTCCTTTGCATCATTATTCTTATGCCTGACTTGATAAATATTTAACAAATAAAATTTAATTGTGAATTTAAAAAAAAATCAGCTTTCAGATCATGCATTCAGCCCACATGCAGTTTGAGTTCGAGACCACTAGTTTACATGATTAATGATCTTTACTATAACTCTTTAAAATAAGAGAAAATATCAAGAGTAGTACTAAATATTTAAAATAAAATTAAATTGGAATTAAAGTACTTATCTGCATCTCTTATGTTTAAGGAATTTCAATTACAATGTACCTGGTTACAGGTGAGTATCATCACCCCACATCATAATTAATTTTAATATGGATTAAAATAATAATTAGAAACACGGTATAAAAGAAAAAGGAAATAATAACATTAGCATGGCTTTAAAAAAAGTAAAAATTCTACTTTAAAAACTTTTTTAAAAAAAAATATATATAGATTAAAAAGAAAACCTCTAAAACAACTAAAAAAAAGGTTCTTACAGGGGACACAAATTAGCAGATTTCGTAATGGAATGCAGAAATGGTACGCAGAAATGATGCATTGAGGCAGTACATGGTGTTGTTGAAAGATCAATAAAGCCCTCTTCTAGTGTAAATCATCATTCCCTGTAAAGAATCCGAGTAGTATGCATTGCTACATGAGGATAGACTTTCCAATATGCATTTTACATAAGAGCTGTAGACAGAAACTTCCTCAAGGAGACACTAAGAAATAGCTCTTTATATCCCCTTTAAGTAACTCCTCCATTTCTGCCACAAACTACAGATAAAATGCATGCCAGCGATCACTGCTCTTCCACTGCTTACACCAACATTTCCATAGAGCTCTATGGAATCTCACGGTTTCAAGTCCATACCCAGAAAACATGGAAAATGCCAAATGCATGAAATTTTTAAATGGTTGAGCTTATAAAATGTACAGTTTACAATAGAAAAATCTAATCAATGGTAAAATAGATTTCCTGTCTAAAATTATAAAATAGTCACCGAATTCGTCATGAACTTGAATAGCAAATGTGAGATTTTGAAAAAACAAAATGCATTTTAGGAATAACAGCCAAAATATCTTTGAAGATCTCTAAACATATTGTTACAAAATGTAAAGGCGCAGTAAGATAGCTTCCCCGCAAAGCAGTTTTAGGGTTGCCATAAAATAGCAAGGAGGGCAGGGTTGCCACATTTGGTGAGAAATTGCCCATTTGGCGATATACCGTGGACAGATGGAGGAACCTTCTGGAACGAGTTCTTACCGGTTTAGCCCAGAATGTTCTCAAACACAGGCCGAAAGCTATATAAACCCTGCTGGTTCGCAGTCAGTGAGTGTGTATCGAGACAGTGCCTCATCTAGCGAGCTGATAGTCAGTCATTGAGCGAGTGTCTCGAAGTCTAGCGCCGAGTGCATCGAGAGAGTCTTTTAGTGCGTTGTCGAGTTTGTCTTAGACTGTGCTGAGTCGAGAGCTATACTCTTGTGTAAAGTCGAGTGCATCGTGTGGAGAGTATAGAGAGTACGTGGAGTTCCGAGAACAACCAAGCAGAGTTGAGAGCTGTACTCGGGTGCTTTGCGGTGAAGCTGTCTCCACCGTTATTGCCTGGCCGTGTTGCTGAAGGTGTCAGCATGTTTATAGTAGATCTTTGACGACTGTAAAGCATGTTATTGGAGCTGTCCTGATTAACATTGGCTAAATAAAGTGTTTCGATACTTCATCAAGTGTCCTCGTTATTCACTCCAAATCCACGAACCCCGTACGAACGCGAACGAAGAAAATAATGCAACAACTGGTGTCAGGAAGAATCGGGGGAAAAAAAAAACCACGCAACAATATAAAAATAAAGCACTTTTCAGATTATTAAAATTTCTGAAGTAAATCTACGAAATTTTTAAAAGCAAAATTTTTTTTCCCTAATAAGATGTAGTTGCAAAACTTATTGTTTAGTATAAAGACAATTTTCTCACAAAACTGGAAGAATGTCAAAAAAACTTTCTCTGCATTCCCCAAGAAATAATCTTTGTTTCTATTTCATTTTCAGATTCTGATAAATAATTTTTCTTCTTCTTGGGACAATGGATTTTTAACTAAATCAAATTAAATTATCTCCTATTAATATTTTTGTAATATGAAAATTTTTGTCACAATCAATCCATGCCTCTATTCCAGACATTTTTAGCCTAGAAACAAATTCTTCCACAAAAAAATTTGTATGATAGATCATTTTTAAGTTTGGACAATTCACTGATCTATAAGCTAGATCAAAGCAGTTATATTCAAGGAAAGAAACATAATTCTAATTCTGCTTTAAAGACTGACATTCAGAAACATGCTCATGAACAATCAAGTTTCCTGAGGTTTCTGGCATAGATTTTAGAGTATATTTTCAGATTTACTACAATAACTTGCTACTGTTTTCTGGAAGTGTCATTTATGTTTTAGCGGATATTTAAAAAATAGCCAGGAAGCAAGAAGAAGCAACATGATGTTCACACAATCCACAGCCATCAACTTCAGGTCTGCCAGATGTATTTTCACCACTATCCTCCACAAATTGAAGCAGTCCCTGTTGCTGAGGATGCTGTTACTATCAGTCATGAAGATTATCATCCAAATAGCTAATGTGCTAGTTAGCTTCTTTAGAGAGTACAGTACTGATTATAATTTTTTTAATTAAAATTCTAAGGAACTATTTTATTTACATTAATCAAATTTCTGAAATATTCTATTTCAGCCCTTTTTATAGAATTATTTTATTCAGTTGAATTAAAATTCTGTATAATGGCTGTATTTGGTGTGTGAACATTAATATTTCATTTAGTGTTAAATATATGCAGTTTATATAACCATAAAAAATTCAATATTTAAAAAAAAAAAAAAAAAAAAAAAAAAAAAAAACGACTGCTCGACACTGGAAGGTTGCAAGTTTCTTTAATGGCAACCTGCAACACAATTCCTCTTTCCTGCATTCAGTAGTTAACAGTCAATAATAATAATAATAATAATAATAAAAAAAAAAAAAAAAAAAAAAAAAAAAAAAATTGGCTATATTTGGATTTTCCTAATACAGTCAAATAGCTGAAATCCGCCAACTTCTGAAATTCGCGTTGCCTCTCAAAATATAAACATTCAATTTATATGTTCTGGAAACCGCAACATTGCGTACGAAATATCGAAGAAAAAATATTTACCAAATAATGATGTCATAATTATCGAATAATAATGACTCATAACGGAAATACCAAATTACTGACATCATGATAAGAGTTTTTTCCCGTTTAATCTGCATCGAGGTAAGACAATGGAGTGGACAATTCACTCAACTCTTCTTTCAAGTTCATGATTCCCGTTGTTGTATTTTCTGAGCTTTGTTATTTCACAAGATTATTTAGTGCTGCCTTTTTTTTAATCTGGATATTTTGAGGATAAATTAAGAATATTTTAAATTTCAGCCCTTTTTAATACAATTACAGATAAGAAACGCACTCATGATTTTACTGCTTGCAACGTTGAAAAACGTAAACACATTGCACTGACGGTAATGCAAAAAGTGCAAATTCTGCAAAAGATGGAGACAGGTGCATTTTATAGCAGAATCGTATGGAATTGCGATACGATTGTGTATGATATACAGAAAAATAAAGAAAAGCTGTTGAAATTTTACAGCAACAGTGATTCTAACACCGGAATCCGAAAACGGAAATCTTTGCACGAGGCGAAATCGGCAAACCTCGATGGTGTGTATATATAATACAATGGATAATATAATCAATTTTATATATGTGATAATAATTTAACGCATATAATAAGTCATTGCAATAATGTATATAATAATTTAATTAAATGTATCTAATACGCCTTATTTATTTTGCACTTTTAGTCTGAATATTATCTTTTCTGCCCTGAAATCAGCAAAATCCTAAAATCCGCACCTCTGGACCCAAGCTTTGCGGATTTCTGGACGTCTACTGTATAGCCAATCATTCACAACATACGGCCCAAAAGCACTTTTGAATCAATGAAGAAAAATATCCTTATTTATTCAAGCACTCTTCTGAATTTTGTACACAATAGGAAGATCTACTACTATCAAGAGTGTAGTATTTCCCCCATTAAGAGCGACTCTACCAAGAATGGGAGGTACAATTAACATCACTTGAAACAGAGCAGCACAAACTGCACTCAGATGTGGCTCCTGAAGCAATTTTACGTGTGGATTAATATATTTCCCATAAATTAATAGCATTATGACAAAAATTTGAAGAAAGGTTATGAAAGATTTTAATCTAATTCTGCATTTTTTTCTTCATTATTAAAAACAAACTCAAGTATTGCCCCAAAAAATCTACAAATGGAGCTAATTAATGTACACTTTGATATAATTCTTATTCAAAGATTTGTAGATAAAGATTTGATTAATCTTTTTATGTACTTATCAAAAGATAAATATCCTCAGTTAAGAATTTTTGCAACAAGAATAATTTCTTTGTTTGGGAATACACTAATATGTAAATAGCTTTTTTTTCGCAGATAAAAAATTAATAAGTCTTAAAAAAAAGAGAGGGAACTGGGATGATTGATGAGCATCTATAATTTATTATAATGATGTTTCTAGAAATTTTTCACTAAGGTTACAATTTTACTGAAATCAAAATGACATTAGATGTCTTAGCTGTAAGCTACAGTAAGGGGAAAAAAAGAAATTTTAATTATTTACGTACAAATATATGTATTTTCTCTATATGCATCAAAGAAAAAATTTAAAAAATACATAAATAAAATTCTTTAAGCAAATGAAAGGCTCCTGTGGCCTGCCAGGTCACCAGACATCTCGCCAATTTGGGTCATGTCTGGAAGGCAACTGCAGCCATCCCGGAATATTGGCGAATTAACTGACCAGTTGCGACATGATCTTCCACATGGAGTCATAGCTGACCTACATGATATGATGCCATGCCGTGTTTCGGCTTGTATATTTGCCATAAGTGTCTATACTACTTACTGATTTGTAACACTTTTCATGCCATAACTTCTTAATAAAACAATCTTTTGTTCTGAATTTTAACCATTTGTTTATCTCCTCCTACACTACATACATGTTAAGTTTCGTGATCGTAGTTGCATCTTCTTGGGGCACATATTTTTTTGCAACAGAGTGTATATCAGGCATTGTTAAGCTTTATGACAACAGGTGCTATAGTTCAGTAAAGTTCAAAACCCATAATTTACAAGAGTTTTAATTACAAATTTTAAACAGACAGTATGCACATCATTTAAAAATTAGCCAAGCAGGTTTTGAAAGACACATTTGAAATAAATTAATGATAATTTTGCATTTTTATACAATTAACATGTCTACATATAAACAAATAATTCTTATTCTTCTGCTTTATATTCATAAAAATATGCTCCTATTACATAAACATGAAATTGTTATATGATGAAACTGATAATTTTATTTTCAGATAGAAAAAAACAAGCATCTTTTAGTTTCTTCCCTGTTCACAATTGTTGATTGGTTTAAACAGAAACTGAAATCAAACAAAGACTTAATTGCTTTAAAAGTAGCTGAGCATAGAGAAATCCATCCTCAATTAACATATTACAATTCTTTATGCAATCATGGATTTTGATGCCATTTCGGTAATATTCCCATAGCTCCCATTATAGGTCAGAATTTAGAAACACTGCTTCACACAGAATGGCCAATCAAGATCACTTGACTTGAATATAATGAAGCATCTAAGAAAAAGCTTTAATTTCTCTCAATAACTTTTCACAGGACTTCAGCAGCTAGGACTATCTCTGCTTTGTCAATGGACAAAGGTATCCTAAAACTGCCACTTATTTTTAGCATATATGAATGCTGCTGTACCTGCATTTCCAACAGAGGTCATTACATTTCAAACTGATTGACTTCCACTCAAGAATTTTCCTACAATAAAAAATCCTGTTTGTACTTATTATTTAATTTTCTTATATCCTTATGCTAGTGTCTTTTATTACACATCATGATTCGTGTAAGATTCAAGGGCTTCAAATAAAAACATTTTTCAATCCTTTCTTCAAACTGTTGCTTAAATTGAGCATCAGTGAACTAAAATCAATTATGTTGTAGGGATTTGCTTTATTTTTCTAATCATTATTTTTACTTTAAGACAGACTTTCTTATATGTTCTCATTTTCCTACCTACACTTTCCTACAAGAATGAGTTTTCAGTTTCATGCTTTACGCAAAATATAAGAGAAACTACTATTTAAGCTGAAGTACTTCAGTTAAAGAGCTAGCGAAAGAAAGAGACAGTACGTTCTGCTTTTCGGCCATGTCCTGGTATGACTTAAAGCTTGCTAGTTTATGACTGTGCTTATTACGTGCCTTTTAGTCTGTACAAGTGATTTTTAGATAAGAGCCAACTATGTGGCAACAAATCTGTGCAGCTTAGGCTGTTTATTCTTACTTACCTTTAACTTAATTTCGTATTTCCTATTTGAAGTTCAAGCCAAAAGAGGCTGTCTGCGAACATCTTGAGTTCAAATAAAAGGGTATTTTAACCCTTTTCCAGAGTTGTAATTCGTGCAACAAGAAATGAGTGAATCATTGCTATTCATTTTTACTATGTTCTAGCAGTTAAAGAATTTAATTTCAGCTAGAACTCTACATTTGGCACTGAATTACTGTCAAACAATGCCACTGGCAACTGGAAAATTTAGTCCAATCTTCAAATTCCAACGGTACCAGTTAACCTAAAGGAGGTTACAAGGGCAGTACAAGTTTCTGCTAAGTGAGAATACAAGTTGGAATACAAGTTTAAATGCAAGAATTATTTCAATTATTCTTATGTAATTTAATGAAATTTTTATGTTTTTTTCACTGCTTCATTTTTTACTTATTAAAAAATGCATAACTTTCCAAATGACCCAATAAGAGCAAATGCCAGATGGTTTGAAAACAAACAATTATTTATACAATGCAATTTAAGGAATTAAATTATTGATTGATGAACAAATTATTGTTGCATGATTTCTAATTTGAAATATAAATTCATTCTCCCAAAATAAAATTTTTAATTATTGCTATCAAATCTTAACAGCCAAAGGCTACATATGGTTTATGAGCTACATTTAATAATGCAGGCAATATACTATCAATACAATGCAATACTGATGTATATGGCTGTAATCCTATCAGTCACAACCTGTTCCAGAAACAGAATCATCATGGCTATTAGTCACAGAATTACTACTTTTATAATGAGACCACACTTTAAATTTACAACATGCATACTATAATTTTGAAAAGTACATTACTGATCAATAAAAAGGCATGCACTGCAATATTTCAAATTATAACAAGATTTTAAAAAGGAAAATTATTACTTATTACAACATGAACTGCATTTAAAAGGCTTAAATAAGCAAATCATAGTTTCATTTTCCCTTAAACAAAAAAAATAAAAATTTACTTACTGAGCTACGGAACTGTCCATGAAAAGTATCAATAATCACAGACTGATTCTGAGATTTATACTGCTCCCAATGATTGTACGCTCTACGAATTTCCTCAGCAAACAGCAAAACACGGCATTCTGAATTCAAAGCATACAATTCACTTGACTGGCTGGAATTATCGGAACACTCATCTCCAGGTATTTGTTCCATATCGATCGCATCTTCTGGCTCAGTCACTGGAGAATCTAAATTGGTATCCATATTTTCAATCTTCAGTCTTTTATGGAGAGCAGAACAGGAAGAATGTTCAGAATTATTTTCTAGAATCTTATGTTTTTCATGCATAATATTTGTTATTTTCACTCTTTTTACACCACCTTGTTTACCTCCTAAATCAACAATCTGTCCCAAGTTATCAACTGTTTCTTGTAATCGATTAAAATCATGTTTAGGAAACTTCTCACTGTCAAATTTAAACAAATTATTAGTTTCATCAGACACTAACACATTCGTGTTTAATGTTTTTGTATCTTTAACAAAATCTTCAATACTCGGAATCTTACGAGATGAATTAAATTTATTAGCAAGTATATTTTTTTCTAACTTTTCACTAACATGCTGTATATTATTTTTTGCTTCAGTTTTTATTTTATGATTAGAGTAATTTTGTTCATGCATATCTTGAGGAACATCTAATTCATTTTTATTTAAAATTTCTTCCAATTTTTTGTTATTAATCAGTAAATCTGCCATTTTTTCTGTATTTCTTTCATAAATGGCAGTATCTAATTCTAAATTTTTCTTTTTGACACTACTGGAAACATTTTTCATTTGTTTTATGTTATTTGGACCAGAACTTCCATTCATAAGAATACTATTTTTTGCTATATCTGTATGAAATTCTTGTCCTGATTCAAAAGCAGATGTACTATTTAATTCCACATTCTTTTCAGAGGTTTCTTTTGCATCACAAACTTCCATCTTTTTCTCATATTCACCTTCAAATTGCAAAGGCTTACTCGAACTTGAAGATAAAGAATTTTCACAGCTCTTTCTAACTATATGTGTGTTATTCACTTTATCCTTCGACTTACTTGCAGAATTCAATTCTTCATGCATTGTGTCCAATAATAATGCTAAAAATTCTTGACAGTCATGCTGAAAAGAAGAATATGAATAACATTATCACAATATCAGTCTAAAGTAAATGAAATATAGAAAATAGGTAATAATAAAAATAATTTTGAGGTTAGAAATATATTTACAAGAGTTTCCTATATAGTTTGAATCATTCTTTTACACTATGCTACCACAACAATCTCAGATCTGGTGAAAAAATAAATTCTATATTTATTCTCTTTTGGCTACCATCTCTTTCACAACACTTTTCTTGTAAATGCATACAGCGATTCCACAAGTTTTTAATAACACAACATATAAAATCACATTTTCTGAATTTTTTAAAAATCATAACATCAAAATAAATGAAATAATTTTAAAAAAATCTGGCTTCTTACTTGTCGAAAGTTTTGGAACTGCAGATGCAATGCTCCAAAACACTCCTTAAATTCACTTAGATTTAGCATAGAATAAGAACCACTCCATACTTTTTTCATAATATCAGCAAATTTATAAGATAATGTTCCTTTCACAAACGACTCAAGTTCTTGCTCACAAAAGAAATTCTTAAATATTTTGTTGTTTAAAAGACACTGTAATCCAGCATTCATGAAACAAGTGTTTCCTAAATTACGAAGGCCACAAACTCCTGGAACTGCATGGAGATCTAGTAATCAAAATAAAAAAAAAAAAAGTTTCATAATAGCTAAAAATTAAAGAATAAAACAATACCAGTTTAGATAATAATACAATGCATCAAAATATGAATTGGTTTTAAAGAATAAGCAGCTTAGCTGTCTCTGATTACTATAATTAGGGTAATACAGTCAAAAGTCATTAATCCAGACTCGTCGGGACTTCGGCGATTCCGGATTATCGATTTTTCCGGATTATAGATCATCAGTTTAAATCTGGTAAGATGGCATGCAGAAATTATAAAATTAAAAATACGAAACTGTAATTTATGAAATAAAGAACAATTATGATCTAAGAGGTATCAAAATTTACAAAAAAAAAAAAAAAAAAAAAAAAAAAAAAAAAAAAAGCTTAATATTTATTTGTTTACTTTATTAAACATTTCTTTCAATGTAAGTTCTTTAAGTTGCTTCGTTTTTTTATGTGATAATACATTTCCTTTAATTCTATGAACAGACATAATTTCTTGTTCATTTACAAAGTTCCGCTGTTCAAGTCCTATAATTGCTGTGTCGAGAATACTGACTAATTTGTAAATAAAAATTTTTTCGTTTTCAATAACCTCTGTCATTTTCTTCGCTATCGGAAGCGAATTATAATGACGAGGAATTTGATTTAAATCATATCAAAGACGGAGTACATCGAGATGAAATACTACATTTAGTAAGGAATTATAAGCCAAATAAAATAAAAACATCTGCCCTGAAGATAAGGATAGTGCTGGCAGATCAACTTCCAATTCATTGCGCGCCATAAACAAAGTTTAGATAAACAAAGGATATGCCTTTATCCATTTTTTGCAGCAATTCCACTTTTTGTTTAATGGACTTCGAAACATACTTTCGCTTTGTAGATCCTTTACATATTAGTAAATATATATCAGGAATTCTATTTGACATAATCGAAAGTTCAAGCTTACTTTTATAAAATTGCTCTATCAGTCTGCAAAAAATAATAAGCCGAATCGTATTCGAAGATTAGGGAACAACGCAATCTGCAACATTAACTGAATTAGATAATTTTAGCTTAGCTTATACCATCCGTTATACATTAAACGTGCAGTCGTAAACGTATTTTGCGCACGCGCACATGCATATTCGCAGCCGTAAAGGTCTGCGACGCATGCGCAGAAAGTTTGTAGCTTTGAGGTCCGAATTAACGACTTTTGACTGTATTGAATTAGATATTCTAAAATTTTATGCTCTTCAAGCTGATTCCTTTTGTAACTTTCTTATAATTTTGCACTGGGAAAATACTGAAAGCTTTAAAATATCATGAAAATGAAATTAATAATTAATGCGTCAATGCGATGCATGCGCAGAAAGTTTGTAGCTTTGAGGTCCGGATTATGGGTGCCCGAATTAACGACTTTTGACTATAATTTTATTGCAACCAAAATTTCCGTGATTACTTTTATGAATTTTAGGGAACTTTCTGAGATTTTGCAAACAGCAAAATTTTTCCACAAATGAATACATCTGGAAATTTCAGATTTTTCTCAGTATATTTTTTTATTTCTTTTCTAACTGCTGGATTATTTTTAATAATTGTACAATTTTAATTCTACTTTCCACTATAATATATGCAGAGTAATTATGCTTAAAAAAAGAAAAAAAAAAAAAAACTTTGTCTTAAGTTATTAACTGCTCCATTTTGCTACACTTTAAAACTACATAAGATAGCCCTTCCTTGCCTTTCAATATTAAAAAACAATTTCAATCTAGAATAATTATTTTTTCAAAATTTAAAAACATGCTACTGAAGGGGACGAAAATTTGCATATATGCTATAAAATACATCTACTTCCAATTAACTTAAATGCAACTCTTGATCTCAAAATGTAACTAATTAAAAAATGCATAACATAATGCTTAGTCATATACTGAATTTATTTGAAAATAAGACCCTGCTTACATCCAAGAATAAATTTTTAAAAATAAAAATGTACATTATTAACAGATATTTAAAACATGCTACTCAAGGGGAAGAAAATTTGTATACATGCTATCAAATACATCTAATTGCAATTAACTTAAATGCAAATCTTGATCTCAAAATGTAACTAATTAGAAAATGCATAACATAATGTTTAGTCATACATCAAATTTATTTGAAAATAAGACTCTGCTTACATCCAAGAATAAATTTAAAAAAAATAAAAACGTATGTTATTAATGGATATTTATATTAACTTGTAAGAATTTGCAGATAATCTTTTCTCTTTTCTTTAGAATTTTCCTAAAATAACAGTACAATTAAGCTGTGGCCCAATACCATTAACAATATATATATTCATGGCAGGCATACCTAAGATCAGCAAAGTAGAAGCAGGCTTAAAATTAATTTGCTCTTCTATTAGAATTAGCAGTTTATATATATGGTATACGCCAAAGTGGTTTAATTAGTATTTAAAAAGTACAATTATTCCATACAGTAAGATAAATTTCTTTTTCTCATGCTGCTATTTCATTTATCAAAATGCCCATAAGAACTCATTTTTTTTTTTTCAAGTATTGTAAAATATAGCCATTACTCATAGTCAATAAATGCAGTATTAGTTATTTCTGTTACAATTACATAGCTAAAAGAACTTTATTTCTTTCATGAAAAATTAATGTAGATCTTTGACTGCAATGAAAATTTTTACAAAATTATCAGTACAAATCCAGGCTGTGGAACTTCATCAAAAATTCTGAATTTTTTTCCTTTGACAGAATCACTATGCTACTTAGAATGTACACTTCAAAAAAAAAAAAAGGGGGGAGAGTTCTATATCTCCCGTTCTACTGGACCGAATGACTAAATTCAACTTGCACTCATGTCTTGAAAGCGTGACTTAGAATATACATTAGATTTATATATAGCATTGTTCTAATATATGCTGTATGATCTTAAATTCACTTAGCGCGAAATCGAGTTATTCTATTACTTGTGCAATTGCTGCACAGTAAGTTAATAATAATTTATTTACTAAAGAAATATTGATTATATTATCTCCTAAGATTAATTTTAGTAGAATTATCTTAAAAGAGTGAATCCATAGTTAGTAAGTTCAATTTCTAAAATTGTTTTAAAGTAACTTGAATGTAAATTGTTAAAAATGTTTAACGGGGACTTGAATTAAATCATGAATAACAAAATTTCAATTGTAAAAAGAAATAAATTAAAAGCAAGTAATTAAATTAAATGCCAGTAATCATTGCCATTGATCGGAAATTAGTTGACTTTTCAATGGGAACAAACCAACTCCCGTTCAATGAACAATAATTAAGAAATAAATACGAAGGTGTTTCGTCCTTTACTCGAGCAATAAGGTGATGCCAAACCAGCAATTCAAGCTAGGCCAAATATTTTCATGAATAGGAGGGAACAAAAACCAATGCAGAGAAACAAAGAACTCATTCCGATTAAGCATTTTAGCTTATTTAATTAACGTAACGTAATAAAGACGTCTTTGCAACAGTTGCAAAACAGTAGAGTTTCCCAGACAACTGGGCATCTTAAAGACGACATATTACAACGTTTTTGTAACACGACTTGCGACCAGTTTGCAACATCGTTGCGTCGTTGCCGTGCTACTTGGGGCCGGTATATCTGTTTGCTTTATTTTGCTTATTTACGTAATGTATTTCTACCCAGAGCTCGGAATACACTCCTAGGAGAACATGAGCCTTATGCCCGTCTTTTTCAAAAGTAAAAGAGTTTTCTCGTAAACAATATGTAATTAAAGTGAATTTTCCCAAGTTTTTCCAAGAAGTCCTAATTTTATATTGTATATTGGAGAATTTTTCTTTCATACTTATACAAATTCCATGGGAAAAATTTTAATTTACTCCAATAGTCAATAATGTGTTTTTCCTTAAAATTATATATGCAACCTAATTGTTTATATCCATTAAGCATTTCTTAATATGGTATATATTTTTAAAAAGTCAATACCTGGATTAATTATAAAAATACTATCAATCAGTCTCTCATGAAAAATTTTTAAAGCAAGCCTAAGAAAATAAAATAATAAGGTGTTCAAAGACTGCAATTCTCTCGAAAAATGAGCTTGGACATGAAATTCCAGCTATAAAGTTCATCAAGATAAAATAAAGGATTTTATAAAAACAGTTTTAACACTGGAAGAACAAAAGATGTGTAAATGCAAAATTTAACTTTCTATGCATCCTATAGGGTAGAATGATGAATCAACAAACACTCATTACACACGGTACTTTCTGATTATCAACATCTCCACGAAATTCATGAACTCGTTGTGGCTGCTTTGTAAATTGATGAAAAACATTTGTTTGACAGTTTTTACCATTTACAGATACAGTTTGGTTGATAAACAATAAGTAGGTTTTCTAAGAAACAAGAAATTTTGTGACGTAAAAGAAGACAAAAATTTAGGTGACTACTTACAGTGGCAAGCAGTGAATAGTGTTCAGCAAAACAATGGCTAACAATACACCATATAAATTTTATGTGTACTCAAAACACATGCGTGGTATGCATTTGAGGAAATTATCTGTTATCTCACATTTGCTCAAAGATACACAAAAAACATAGCAATTTAGCCACATGTTGAAACTGTAGGTGCATATAATCAAAAAACCCCTCACATGTTAATAGGTTAAATACGAAACATTTCACACATTTACATACAAATTTTGGTTTTATGGGACAAACTATAAAGCATGAGAGTTCTTTCACTTTATAGACATTAAATATCAAATCTAGGCACTTTTGTTTTAGACTGCTCAATAAAACTGGTTAAAAATATAAAACTTTGATTGAAAAAAAACACTGAAGTGATCCAAGTGAATAAATTTGTTCTTTTGTACCTGCTAATTTCAGATGAGAGATAGGGAACTTTTTTTTTTTACTTAACTGCAAAAGCACAGTTAATAGTTAAATGAATTACTTTTTTTTGTTCTGCATATGCCTTCATAAAAGTTAAATTTTGCATTTACAAAAATCTTCAACACTTTCTTTTTCATAAAATTCTCTATCTTATTTTAAGAAACTTTTGAAATATGTATCTAAGATCATTATTCAAAGCAATGCAGCCTGAAACCAGCTTTTCCAAATATACTACATATACCTTTGTATTCCTTACTATGCATTTAGTCTCACTGAAGTTAATACTTGTATGTAAAGACTCGTGCCAAACCTGGCTGTCTTGCAGCAAATCTTCGTGTGCAAAAGATGAACTTGTTATATTATGATTAACATGCTGCAAGGCAGTTGCCCAGTTCCTTGAAGATCTAACAATGCATAACAGCCTACTTTATGATGCAGATTTTATATTTTGAGAATCACAGGCACTTTATAACTATACTCAACCTTGATTCAAGATTTATAGTATTTTGCATACTTTGCTAACCACACACATTTCTGCGACATGCAAACACATTAACATGGAAAGCTGCATTTATGTGGCAATGTAGTTTAATGCAGAGGACCAAAAATTCAGTATTCTGAAGTAGTGTTACCATCTTACATAGCCCTTATATGTTTGGACACAATCTAATCCACTGATAAGCTTATTTTCAACAGTATTTTCATTCTTGCAACAATGTTTCAATATGTTTAGACCTGCTCTATTTATGGCCATAATAATTTTCATCCTATCACATGACATAATATGGAACTTATCCTTTTAGTTCAGTTCATAAATATATGAATGGCAATCTAATTTAAATATTTGGGAAAAATAACTTTTAAGTTTTCAATACTTCCAATAATTTCCTGAAAACATATCTTTAAAACATTAGTTTCCACTGGGCGATGGCAAGAAAACTTTTAAGCTAGCAGAATTTTACTTGGAGATCTGTAACTTGATTTGTGAAAGGAACAATTGCCTTAATAGTAACATAAATTTACTTCAGACAAATTAAATCCATTACATTATGAAGTCTTGAAAAACATATCTTTATTACACTATTCATAATAATTAATGAAAATAAATAACAAAATTATAATATCCTTATAAAGATTCTGGAGTTTATAAAATTTCTTGTATTTGTCTATAAATAGAATGTTAATGAAAAAAATATTCACATTTTTTTTTCACTATATAGCACTTTTTATGACTTAGTCTTGACTTCTGCCAGAGTTACAAGGTCGATGGATAAAATCCTCAATTTCTTATTTATTATTAAAACTTAAAATACAAAATACGTGCCATCATATGATAGATTCACTGAATACATTAAAAAATTGTTTAATAAGACCTCATCTGGCTGCATTTTCTATATATTTATATAAAATTACATTTTTAGAAATAAAAATTTAATGGTTCTTAATTGTTCACTGCTAGCCAAGAAGGGATATGCACTGCTTGCCAAGAAGGGATATGCACTGCTTTTATATTACAACATAAATACTATTAAAATTATTTTAAAGTATAACATTTTTCAGCCAAGTCACCATTATCTTCAGACTACTACAGCTTAATAGGTCTACTGCTTTACATTCCTTTAATATCGTTCACCATGCTCTAAAAAATCTTTAGGAGTTTCCATTCCATTAATTTAGACATCTTTTCTTATGAATTTGCTTCAAGTACTCTGTTTGCTATACACAAATACTTCTTGATACATGATTCTGCATAGCCCACTTTATGACATCCTCAAAAGTACATCAATCACATCATTCTTCAATCTCATTTTGAAATGTACAAGATATTTTTCGTATGCCTTTGTGGTGTATTTGGAAGCATACTCGATGCATAGAGGTCCAGGGTACGAGTCCCTGTTCAGACATCACTTATGGAGTCATTAGTAGTAGTAGTTAAAAAGAGGCAGGAGACAAGAAAAAAGTGCAACGTCCTCGCTGGGACTAGAACCTTCGACCTCTCGCATACGCATTAAGTATGCTTCAATTACATCCCAAAAACATGTGGAAAGGAGGTAGAAAATACCTTACAAATGTTCCTACAAAAATTACCTCCCATCTGAAACAGTAAGAACAGTAGAATGTTTATAATCAGAATTTGGACACATCTACAACATTCTACCAAATATCATATTACTTTCTTTTTAATTTTGATGAATAATTTATATTTTTAAATTTCAAATTTTAAATGACAAACTTGTTTAAAGTTATTAAATTGGAATTTGGAGTTTTCTGATTGCAGTTTCTTTTTAACATTTTTTATGACCAAGTTATGACAGTAAGTGTTTAAATTAGTGAAACCTCTTCTAATGAATACTTCTACAAATGACCAAGATTTCTAATTCGAAGACCATAATAAAATGAGGTAAAAACAAGACTGATAATCAGGTTCCCTAAGATAACACATTAACAGGAATCCAAAATTGTTCTAAAATGTGAGATTTGTCTTGCATATGTTGCGCTGTACATAAATTGTTTAGTTTTACATACATTTAAAGAAAAAAATTAACACATGATTGATAATAAATTCAACTCAAATGTACAAAACATATTTTGATAATTATGATTATCAAAATAATCATAATTATATCCAAAAATTGCAATAAAGTATCAATGCAAGAATATAATAATATGCTTCCTTACCAATGACATGAGTTTCAAATGAAGGAGACTCAAACTCTGCATAAGGTCCATATAAAGGGAGAACTGTAAAAATATATATGAAGATAAAACTGAAAAAATTAGCATGTATAAGCATTGCCCCTAAACTGATTTTTAAGGTGGGGGAACTTTGCTTAAATCTCATATTAAAAATGTATAAAACTTAAATGTTTTAAAAATAAAAAATATTTTTTGAATATATGAAATATTTCTTCAAAAACAATCAGAAAATTTCAAGTATAATTTTTAAGAGATATCAGAGAAAAGGAACATCATAAGACAGTAATCAATTTGTAAGACATTTTCTTCCTTACCATATGTCTTTGTGATATAACTGGAAGCACATCCAGTTGGAACCAGGAAGGTCTGGCATTTTAATCCCGGTGAGGGCACTGCTAATTTATTATGCTTCCTCTTTCAACAAGCCCAACTTCAAAAATTTATATATTTTCTCTGAGGCCAGTTATTTAGACTACAAAAACTTAAAGTATAATGATACACTTTTACTATTCATACCCCCAGTTTCAATATCAAATATACATGTGACAATAGAAAACTCATCTATGCACATACCACACATGTGTTTGAATGTATGTGGATTTATATGATGAGTAAATGGTACCAAGTTGCCGTTTACCCACCAGCTTACAAAAAATATTCATTGGCTGTAAAACTGTAAATACTGTATTTCGCTTTATATTTACCCCTTTGTTACTAATTTTATCATCCAGAAATCAAGAGTAGAAAATTATGCGTATAATTTCCAAAGGATACAATTAGAGTAAGAGCATAACTAATGAAATGTAGGCATAGATAAACTATAGGTATCAATAGTTTATCTATGACTATAGATAATATGAGATTTATATATGTATTTTTAAGTATCAGAATATTATTACTTAAAAAAAAAACCTACATTCCAATAAGAATACATAGCAATACAGCATCTAATAAGATATCTTCATTTCTACTTCCCCGTAACTTGAATTTCTCCTGTTGTTGCTGTCTCTTCACTCTACTACTTCAAAGCCTCAAATCATCCACACATAATTAGAAACGGTGGATGTGCAGCTGACCCAGAAAAATTGTAGACTGAATATCACTTTGTGTTTGCTTTTCTCTGTTTGACCATTTCTTGTATTAGTCAGGCATAATATTCAACAGTTGAAACGAAAAGGTTCGGTGTGACATTTGCAGGTAGTTTCCAAAAGTTTGTCTTTGTTAACAAAATGAAAACAATCACTATGTGGGTGAATCTATTTTAAAATTTAGGGGAGCTTGTTCTCTGAATGCACTGAGGAAGGAGAAAATTGCATGAATATTTTTTAAATTGTCAGAACCTGGCACTAAAAAGCTAGGGTGGAAATACAGTATTGGGCATACAGATTTTTTCTTTTCCCTTTTTTCCCCCTCCCCTTAAATGCTGGTCAAAGCGACAATTAGCCCATAATTTTATTGGAATGCAGATACTCAGAAGATATTGTAGAATTCTATAGTTCATCAATTGAAACATGAAGCATATGATGTAGTCCATGTATTGAAATTTACCATATTCGATAGTAAAGAATACTAAGTTTGAAGCACTAAAATTTCCATTTATTTTTGTATTGCTTGATTTTTAATTTCTATAATTCATATTTTAGTTACTTTTAATTTTTTAAACAGCTTTGTGCTAAGTAGGATATTCTAATAAGATAGCTCATGATTTACATGCATTGCTATTTAAACCAAACAGATAAAAACGTACCAAAAATATTCTTAATTGCTTTTAAATTGTTGTTACTCAATAATAGATTAAATTTGACAGTTAAAAATCTCTTATGCTTTACTAAATGGCAATATGCTGGTGTGTGGAAGATAAAAGTATTTATCTCAGCTATTTAAAAGCAATCAGTTCAAACAGTAGAAAAAAATGTTCTTAAGAATTGCTTTTAAATCACTTGGCAACATACTGCTTTTAAGTAGAATCTGTTGATTAAAATGGAAAGATAAATACCTTACATTTAGTCACACGGCAACAGTCTGCACACTGGAGATATTAATGTTTTATTTCAGGGCTGTTACAGCTCACTTTGAAATCACAGAGTTTATTAATAAAAAAAATTCATTAAATTTGTACAAAATTAGAAATAAATCAAAAACAAAGTGCTTTGAGTTGCACATATCCGGGTGGAGGGCTACCTGTGTTCAAAATTTGTTGGCACTAACTGCCATTGTTTACCCACAATGCGAGGAACACACAAAGATAGGCACATACATAGAGATTCTTCATTATTTAATAGCAGAGATTATGAAAAAGCAAGTGAGGGCATTTGTTCATAAGAAAGATGATTTCATGAGATACTTTCTAAAACTGGTGAGTGATTTTCTAAAACATAAATTGCCATTTACATTAAGTTTAACATTACCATTTATAATATTGTATAAAACTAATATATCAAATTACTGTAAAGAAAGAGAGTTATCTTTGATGCAGCTTTCAATTTACTATATGAAAGATGGAAGTTACAATATAAATTTGACAAATGTTTAGAGAAAGTGAAAAATACAGTATACAGCATGAACAAATTTATATTAGTTTTCTTAAATAAGAAACCAAGAAGGGAATGAATATTATTTTCTGAATTAGTAAAAAATGAAGTTAAAAATGTGTGATTCAAAAATTTTAAATATAAATTTCTTTATTCCAATAAATGACAATTATACTGCAAATGGAAAATGTATTCAAAAATATATCCAAACATATTAATATAGTTAATATAAAGCTACAAAGATTTAATTAATGAAATTATCTCATTAAAAGAAAGGATTTTGAATAAAATAGATTGCTTTAAAATTAACTGGCAAAATGGTTAAAAATTGTTTTAGATCCAAAATGAAATGAATGAGATAAAATACTGTATACTGGAATCACACTTAAACCGTATAAGAGCTTTCACAGATGGACCATTCAAGCTCTGACTATTCAGCTAGAGCTGATGATGCAGACAAGTCATCTGCAAAAGCTGCTGTACATTTACTTTAATTGTGTTTAAAGACAGTTTGGAATGTCAACCTTGAGTATTTTTATCTCATTTTAAAAAAGATGTTCTTGATGAACTGGCTACATTACAAAGCATAATGAAATACAGTAGAATTCCAGAAATCTGCAATGCTTGGGACCAGAGGTTGTGCGGATTTCAGGACAGAAAAGATAAAGCACAATATTTGGAATAAAAGTGAAAACTGAATAAGGCGTATTAGATACATTTAATTAAATTATTATTACATGTATAAATTGATTATATTATTCATTGTATTATATGTACATAGTATCGAGGTTTTGCCAATTTCGCCTGATAAAAAGATTTCCAGTTTCGGTTTCCGGTGTTAGAATCACAGTGGCTGTAAAATTTCAACAGCTTTTCTTTATTTTTCCGTATATCATACACAATCGTGTCGCAATTCCATACCATTCTGCTATAAATTGAGGAGTAGCACCTGCTTCCATCTTTTGCAGAATTTGCACTTTTTGCGTTACCGTCAATGTAACGTGTTTATGTTTTTCAACATTGCAAGCAGTAAAATCACGAGTGCGTTTCTTATCTGTCATTGTATGAAAAAGATCTGAAATTAAAAATATTCTTAATTTATCTACAAAATATCCGGGGAAAAAAAAAGCAGCACTAAACAATCTTGTGAAATGAAATAACAAAGCTCAAAATACAACAACGTGAATCGTGAACTTGAACAAAGAGTTCAGTGAATCGTCTACTTTTTTACCTCGATGCAGATTAGAACTTATTTTTTTTAAACTTTTTTATATCAATAATTTGGTATTTCCGTTTTGACACATTATTATTCGGTAATTATGACGTCATTATTCGGTAAGTATTTTTTTTCTTCGATATTTCGTACTCAATGTTGCGGATTCTGGAACCTATAAACTGAATGTTTATATTCTGAGAGGCAATGTGGATTTCAGGTCGGCAGATTTTCAATATTTGACTGTATAATAAAATGAAAAAAAAAAAAAAAAAAAGTAGATGGATTAGGAATTGTTTTTTACCTTGGCAGCAATAAATATGGAATATAATATGTTATCACATACTTTTCCTTCTTGCATATCCCCCTTGCAGCAAAAGGGTCTGAAAAATTTATAGTATTTACTAATTTCCTCCTTTCTCAAGACATTCACAAAATGAGCTCCTCTAAATTTTAATATGGAGCCATCCATGTAGTGATTGCTTTTGTCTTAAAAATTGATTTGCTAGAGAGAATTTGGGTACATGGGCTCTGATTGATATAGCGAAGAGCTCCAAGAAAACACATATGTAATGTTCTTGACTGTTCTGAAAATCCTTGCAGGTGTGAAGATAGACCGAATGATGATGGCTTGCAAGGTATAGCAGATGACAAAGATTGCACTTACAGCACGATGGAATGATTTGACACCTAGGGATTAGCAGTGGACAGCCACAAAAGCAGGTGAGATTCAAGATATAGGGAAGCAGAAATGAAGATAAAGTAATGATTAGATAGTGTAATGTTAATATTACTACATATTCTTATTAGAAATCAGATTTCTTGAAATAAATAATATTGTGTTAGTTATCAGTAGTTTGCTCATGAATATTCTTCATTTGATTTGTTCTTACTGTAACCACATTCACTGAAATTAAATTTTCATGCAATAAAATTAATAAAAAAAGGGGGACATATGTGAGTAAACAAGGTATCCTTCTGGCAACATAAGCTATTTAAAATTTCCTTTGATCAATATTTTATGTAGAAAGATTAAACATAAAACCTTCTTACTTCCTCTAAAAAAGTTTGATGCTTTTCTACCATTGAAACACTGTTTGGGATGCAAAAATGTTTCCTTATTTAATTTTCCCCCCTTAATATTGCTTTTAAAATCATTTTGCTTCTCAAAAAGTGTGATGCTTTACTACCACTTAAAGACTGCTCGGGATACCTAAGCGTTTCTTTTGCACCTGCATTCCTTATAAAAAGAGGCAGTTCTGCTTTCTGGAAATGCAGATTTCAAACACTGAATGGACTAA